CAGAGTGGTCCCCTTCCATGCACATCAGTATTCTACTCTAGCACTGATAGGGTGCTCCAAAATCATTTACATCCTTATCACTGGTACAACTCAGAACTAAGAAATGAAAATTTTCTTTCTTTAAGAACAGTATCATGTGTGTCTTTTTGTAATTAATCAGTGTGGTTCTGTGTTCTTATGTAGCCAACACAGAATTTTTATTTAGGTTTAGTTTTTGCTGCACTTCTCATGGCCCTCATGTTGATACTTCTTCCTGCTTCCTTTGACACTTAGACAATAAAATTCCCTCTGTACTGCTCTGATTTTGTGCAGAGAAAACAAGTTGTCTGTACTGTCCTTCTTTCTGATTTAAATTTTCCCATGATAAGTCAGGTAAGAAGTCAAAGGGACAGCCTTGAGTGATGGTATTGGCATATTATGTAGAGATGCCCTGTACTTGCTACAGTATGGACATGGAAAAACCCACATTTTCCTTTAATCATCTGAACAGGTGAGTATGTCTGTGCACACAGAGGCAACTGCCAGACAGTAAGTATATATGTGGCTATTTAGCAAGGGCTGGAACTCATGTTTTCCTCCTGAATTGCCATCAGTCCAGCTGGGTGGAAAAAAAAATCAGTGCAGGCAGCAACAGAAATTTCAGTCTTACAATACTGTAAGGGTTAATACAAACCTCTGCTTGCACTGCTCAACTCTTCAATACACAATTCAGTTTCCCTTCCTGGCCTGAAAAGCAGTTCTGCTCAAGGTCTATGTTTAGTGACCTTCCAGACTGATGACCTCACCAGGACTTCTCAAGGCAAATGCTGGGTTAATAAAGGGCAGTCAGCTGCAAGATTCAGTGCAAGGGGGTCCAACCTTATTCAGGCTATCATCTTTCAGGCATAACATACCCTCTCTCTCTTGGGAAATGAGTAATAATTGGGACCAAGGCCAAGATGTAGGCAAGCCTACAGTGTGTAAAGGAAAAAACATTTCCTAACCTGCTAATCCAAAGAGAAAGGCACATGCAATAGTTCCTTTTAGCCAGGTTAATTACATGAACAGCTTCTGCCTTGAGGGAAGCTAACTGCACAGTACTAAACCTCTACTTCATATGCTTGCTTTAAAACACCCTCTGCCCCATGTCTTACAGATTTTGCTAAAAACCAGGTAACTTATAACCCATATAGATCTAAAAGTCAGTGAGATTGTTAGACAGTGGAGTGAGAACACCAAAACAGTGATGTGGCCACACACTTTCTATTCCCTTTTAGATCAGGCTTTCCCCTTGCTTACTCTTGGCTCCTGCATTTCTAGGTTTTTAAATCAGAGCTTATGCTATTGGACCTTAGGTGGAAAATCTTTATTGTGGAAAGGATAAACAATTGGTTGAAGAAGAAATTTAAAAAATTAGGACAAACAAACCTAGTCAGTTTTACACTGAGGGCCAGAACTGCAAAACTTAAGGCTCTCACATGCATAAAAGCATACAGAAATTAATTTATGAGAGTGAGACTGAGCCATTCACGTAGAGACTGCAGGATTAGGGTAGGCAAAGGTGTATGACATACTGGGGATAGTAGGCCATGACAGAATTCAGTTAACTCAGCTGAATTGGCTTTCTGAGATTGTATTTTTATTTTGGTACTGAGTGAGTCTCATTCTATCTCTGACCTCATTGTAGGGGAGGGAGGAGAGGAATAGCTATAGAATAACTACAGTTCAAGAGCAGCTCCTGAAACTGACCAAAAACTGAATAAATAGAAGTAGAAAGCTTTGCATCTCAAAACAAAAGAATAAAAAACTAAACATTGCTACAGCTTGAAGCCAAGTTTGCGTGTACAAATGAAAGACTGAATGGAACAAATACATCTTTTGTTGTTAGCATGTGCCAGTGTCTAGCCTAGTCCTTTTCCCATTTGCCAGATGAGCACCTTGAAAGCCACTGTAATTGTCTAAGCAAAGTTACATTTCCCAGCTCTACTGTACAGCATTCCTATTTTTGTAGAGCACAGGAATATACAGTCTAAACCTGAAAGAAAATAAATAAACTCTAAAATAAATAAAAGCAAGAAAAGAGCTTCAAGACTAGAATAAAATTTTCAGTGGAATTTGGAGGACAACCTGCCTTGACAGGAGAAGCCAAACTTGTACAGCTGACAAAAGGAAGGAAGTTGAGGCATGCCAGCTGTTGAATGTCATCTTGGTTATCATTACAGCAGGTGTGTTCTCTACAGAAACTCAGTATCACACTTTGAAACACAGTGCAATGCTCCAGTGCAGCTTGGGCATTGCAGCAGGATGGCACTAGGGGAAGTACTACAGGCCAGGCAGCTACAGTCTGGTAAGGAGCAGGTCACAGCCAGCAATTCAGTTAACCTGCACAGGAGGAAGCCTCCTGAAAGGACATGGTGTCCCACTGACACTTGTGTGCCCATCCCTATAGGTAAGCAAGAAAAGGCTTCCTCTGTATTTGGATGAACCACGGACATATCTGCAGATTTCTGACCAGTATATCCAATACACAGTCATTACTGAGGTGGTGGTGATGGGAGGAGATACTGCACTGTAGAAACAGCCCACTTTACAGACTGTTTGCCAGTGCCACTCCAACATCATTAGGAGCAGGACACATACCTTGATCCACTCTTAAAAGAGATTCTTTCAGAGATGCTGAACTTGTTCTTAGGGCCTCTAAGACACTCTTCAGAAAAGAGGAACTAAGGTCAAGTGTACTTCAGAGTTCTATCTTCACAAAGCAGGTGGCATGCAAAGCACTAACAGTTAAATCCGAAACTCGTTTTTTTGTTTTATATAACAAGAGTTATTCCCATCTACGTGTTCGTTTCAGAACTCCCTCCCTTCCCACTTAACTCTTAAGGAGTTAGGAAACTCCCTATCCTATGTCTTGACCCTCTTTAAATGTTGAGTTTATAGTAAGACTTAGCCCTAAAGAATTCCACCCGTAGCTTTCAACTGAAGAAATACAGCTGCAGAAAAAAATAAACATCAATAAGTCAGAAAGATAACTGGATATGGCAGTCATGGGAAAACAGCTGCTGGAGAGATATCTCACAAGGAAAAGGCATGGAGAAAGATGACCTCAAACAGCAGCCAAGTTTCATTTATTAAGAAAAGGAAAGAAGCTAAAGCAATTATACTGTTTATCACTCCTTCCATTCCATGTAAGTGGGAAAACTGATTATAAAGGGCAACCTCCTGAAGTGATGAACTTAAAACTCTGAGAAAATAAAGGAAGTCCAATTTCTATCTAAATAGCATAACTAAATACAGCCTAGCAGCTGTGGTGCAAACTAAGCTGTTTTTTAGCAAAGATACTTTGTCAAATGTGTTTGCCTGTAACAGCTGCATGCTCCTGCAGCTTAGAAGACTGCTAACAGGGGATGTACACACACTGCCAGTGGTCTCTGGCATCACTTCCCCTGAGTACCAGTCTCCCTGAGCTCTGCATCGCTACTAAGATGATGTAGTTGGTAACTACCTCTATGAGACTTCCCTTTCTGAGCACTGCAGATATTCCTGTTGTTCCACTTCCATAACAATTTACAAATCCCTGTGTAATTCATCAGAAACCAGTGTTAATGGCAACTAGTCATGCATTTGGGTCCAGAAACAGTGTCAAGAACCACATCTGGAATCTCAGTTATGCATGCCATGATGCTCATTACCACAGGCTCTGATTAAATCACTGGATGCTATTCTTAAAGCATCATAAAAGGCCTTATTTTCTCCCAACAACTATACGTACACTAGCTGCTATTTTAGAATTAGGAACCTTCTGCCCACCCCACCTCCAAACTTTTCCTCTAGTCTCCCACAGTCAGAGGCATTCACAGGTCTCCACTTCCATTTAATATTAACTCCAAATTGCTCTAGAACACAGGGGTGTCTTCCTTTCTGAAGAGACCAATTCTACAGTGGTCTATACTAGGGCTTCAGGGGCAGTAGTCAAAATAAACACAGTGATCATGACTTCAACTCTGCCTTTGTGTCCATATGCAGTGCCCAAGGAAGCATATGTAAGCCAGAGCTTTGGGAGCTGCAAGTCCCTCTGGGAGCTTTATAACCTTCAGAGAGATGAGTAAGGGGACTTGCAGGCATTGTTCCGCAATTTCTCAGCACATGACTCCATATCCAGTGTTCAGCAACTTAACCACTCCAAGTGCTTACCACATTATTTCATGCATGGAAAGAAGAAGCATTAGCCTGACCTGTGCAACATTAGATTTTCCAACAAAATATAGCTGGAAGCTTACAACCTCCCTGAGATGCCTTCATGCAAGTTGCCCAAAAGTTAAGTCTTTGGTTTAAATAAAACAGGGAAAGCACTTGTGATGTTGGAATTACATCACAGGATTGGCAGGCTGCGTCAGCCAGCGCAGGGGCAACCAGTTCATGTCATGGTGCGCTGAGCACACCTTATGGGTCTCAACAGGTGGGGCAGGCAGCTTTCACACACACACACACACACACACACACTCCTCATCAATTGACCATCAGACCTAGCCAGCAATTAAAATGGAAGCAGATAGCTAATTTTGTAAGTGCCAACACCATGTGTCACAGCGTTTTTTGTTTTGCTTGTGGTTGGTTGTTTTTAAACCTTTAGTGTCTTCCAAGCTTCCTATTACAATGTTAACAGCAGGTGGGAGTCATCTGCAACCAGGCTGCCTTCTGGCAGCTTCTTCTGGAGCCTGGCAGAAAATAAAGCTCTCAGTTTACCCTTTCCTTTCCTCCCTTTACAAATACAACCACTGACAAAATCAGAATAAGAGTACTTGAAGAAATTAATGAAACTGTCAGATAAACATAGCAATAGAAACACACAGCTTTGCATCCCTTACCATATATCATTACTACTATCTTGTGTAGCTAATTCTTCCTCTTTTCTTTCACATCCCAGCCAGCAAAACCTTGCTGAGCAAGTCTTCAGAGGGTTCAGCTGCCAGAAGTACAAGGTGCTGTCATTAGTTTGTGTTTTTTTCTTAGATCAGAAATATTTTATTTTTGAATAAAGGAAGTAACATTTAAAATATGAAAGTCCCTCAATACAGACCAGGAAGAAAGAATGAAATTTCAAGTCTCCTTGTACCTTCCCACAAAAACCTGAGGTGGGACCAGATTTCCTGCCTCGTTTGTGAATGACTGATTGATAATGTTTCTGCCAATCCTGGTCTCATCTCTCAGGGAAAAACTGAGCACCAAATGTCAGGCTGAAGTGCGGAATTTACTCAAGGAACAGATACAATTCTATGCTTTTGTACTGGCCAAGCCACTGCTAACAAAAAGACAGCGATAGGACACCAAAGGTACACTGAGATCCAAAAAACTGACAATCTGGCTCCAAGTTACATAGCCTTACCCTTCCTCACAATGCCTGTCAAGAGACAGGAGTCAGTCCTAAGAGTTCTACCTACCAAAACATGGCTGGGGCCAGAGGAAGGAAGGAGCTTTTACTTTAGTCTGGTACAGGCGGATGCTACAGGTTGGCTATGGACACCTGGCTTAATGGGAGTGCACGGAGAAAGAGTAGGGCAAGTGACAAGTATTAGCTCTTCCATCTGATGTCTCTGCTGCCTCTCACATGCCTTCCATTTTCATCTCTTTTTTGGGACCTCCAGAGTTAGCCTTCTGGGGTTGTCATGCCTTACAGGGTGATTTTTTTTTCAATGGATATTCACTAGGAGGATCCTAAATATTTTTCCTACAAGTGCCAAACTAGGTACAATTCTGAGACTGCTAAAGAAAGGAAGGGAGCCTTCTCCAAGGTCTCTAGCCTTTTGCTGCCATCCTAGAGCTGTGTGGCTCTGCAGAACCCCTGGCTCCATTCCTGGCAATCCCATTCCCTGGTCCATTAGTCACAGCAAGCAGTTTCTTGTAGAAACTGTTATACCACACAAACCCTTCTGTCAGCAAGGCAGCCCTTACACATTATTAAATAAAAGACATTTCTAAGCAGTTAGCAGATCCAACACTCTAAAAGGCAACAAAACAATTAGCCCTGAAAGGACCATACTTCATAAACTATCACTGAGGAATTAAAAGAACTATTGTTTTGATGTGAAAGAATATTGGTGTATATATCCCATGTTCCTTGGTAGCAATTAACTAATCAGAAGTGGATAGCACTGCCCTTCTCTTTTCCAGCTCCTTGAAGATCTCACACAGGGACAAATAAACACAAGAGTTATGCTGGTTCCCTCAGCATGAAAACACCTGCTAAACAAAGCAGTGGAACGAAGATCCCCTCAAGAGATGGTAATGCCTGAATACAATGGGAAGCCCACTGGGCAGACAGCTCAGGGTTGCAGAGATCCAGAAAATACCAATGCAAAAAGCGCTCCAACTCTCCCATCCCTGCTTTTAGTGAGGGTGTGAGGGGAAAAAGAGACTTTTAGGGCATGATGAGGAAGAGTTTTCTTGCAAGCAGGTTGTGCAATCCAGTATGTCAACTGCTCTATTCAGAACAGCCTTTCTTTAGGGAAAGGGAACCAACACTAACTCTCTCTCAGGCTGGAAATCTCCAAGCCAAAGCTAGCCAGCAGGCAGAGATGATCAGATGAACAAAAAGGATTTGGTAAGCCATTTGCCATCAACAGGACATCTTCAGAGAGCAGGGAAAGGCGGCCAAGCAGCTTCAGGGCTCCGTCCTTGTATAGCCTGCGACCTGACAAAGAAAATGGAACGAAACATCAGCCAGAGACTCATGCTGTAGATTAACTCTATACACTCTCAGAGGAATGCTTGTCAATTCATTCCTATTCTTTCCCTGATGAATGAAGACAGCCTGCACAAACACTGCATGCAACTTTAAGCCTAGATGTGAAAGCAGTGAGCATCCTACAATATTGCTGTTCATGGTTTCATACACTTGCAGGCATAGGAAGCAAGAATATACTAAATTCACCGGGTAGTTGCTTACAGCAGAAGTTCCTTATTGTGTCCTAGCAAGAGCTTCAGATGCTCAAGGAGGAATTCATCTCTTCATTTCTAACCTGTTCCCCAAACTTGATTCTGACATGACCCAAACCAGCTCAGAGACAGTTCTTGGATGCATTTACATGCAGTCTTTCATCAACATAACTCCTCTTTCAGGTAGCAGAAATGAGGTGCCATTGTAAGGCAACCAGAGTCACAACCTTCCAATGTCAGCATATGGTCTCAGACAGACCAGAAGTCCAAGCCTTGAACTTAGGAGCCAGCATTGCCTGTTATCAGGAGCACAAGTAAGATACTTATACAGAAGAAAAGAACCTATTCTGTTTGAGCTTCCTCCAAAGTCTACAAGAACCTAAGCAGCTTTGTTTTTTTCACAGCAAAGATAAGCACTGTCTTCTCATGATACACGAGCAAATGTTGCTTCCACCTTGTGCATCATTTCAGTCAAAGACACACTCTGTAGATCTACCCCAGTTTATCGAAATGCACTAGCCTGTCTCACAGTGATAAGCCCTGCACTGTCACACTCACCTGCCCTGTTCTCCACAGGCTCTGCTGAGTAGAAGATGTAATCAACAGTGGCTCCAAGCCCCATGGGCATCGTTGTGACCTCTGGGCGTCCCCTCTGTGGCAGGAAGTGGCTGTAGACAGAGGTCAGGTTGAGGCCATGCTGGATAACACCTGAACACCTGCACAGAAACAGACCATTTACCAAGGAAGGAAAAGGGATGATGCCTTTTTGGTACTGCAGTCACAGCTGAATGTTTCCTTGCTGATGCAGCTGTCCAAACTATTTCTACTTTTTGAACACATAAAAGAAAGTATTTCAGAACTATTCACTTCACTTACACCAAAGCAAAGCAGACTATAAGCTTCCTTTGTCATCAATATCCAGTCCTGTCTATGCCCTTCATTCTCGACCTCACCAACACAATGCTGACAGAACAGCACCCAGCTGCTGGGACAATCCTAGAAGGATCTAGCTCTTCCAGACAGCCCTCCTTACTTTCTTCCACTCTCACATTTATTTCAGTCCTTACTTCAGCCAAATTTTCACTGCTCAGGAAAACAAGACTGAGTTTGAAGAGAGGGGCCATTGAAGATGCACCAAATTACCTTGGGATGAATGGCTGCGGATCAGGGTCTTTCACCATGGGAGCAGGCTTGGGCCAGTGTGCAGGGCGGTCTGCAAAGGAACAAAAAGATTCCAGCCAGACCTACACAGATGCCAGAAAAGGCTGCCTATCCAAGTCTGAGAAGCTTCTCCTGAGATGAAATGAATCTTTTTGCCCAAGAGCAGCACATAGCTACCAGTCAGAACCATCTTAAAGAAAAACATCCAGAGGAAACACTAGCTCTAAGAGTAACAGAAGGGTTCTTAGGCCAGATCAATGCAAACAACAGAGAAGTCATATTCTGTCCTAATGACATGTCCTTAAAGCATTTAATATTATTGAAATTCAGGGTACTTCATTCAACCTTTGCTCTCAAAGAAAGTTTGCTTGTCTTAGCCTACAGCTTACTCAAAGAGAGTCTAGAAAGGCTGAACAGAAACGGAGAAAGCAGAACCAGCCATGCCACAAGGCCCATAGGTGAGGCGGTCTTTACTGGGTACCAATATCCAGAGACATCTATGTTGTGGCCATTGTGTGACATTAGTCCTCATGTTTGTTCTCCACCACCAAAAATCTTGAAGCAGAAAAAGAGAAATATGTATACATATGTGTGTTTCACTTTATAAGAAAAGAGGCTGAATCTCAGTGCATTTCAAGGAACATGGTCAGTGTGTATATGGGAGGTAAGATTATTCATCTGAGCTCTCATGGAAGCCAATCACAGTCACAGAAGGCACCCTTCTGCGTTCCCCTTTCCTCACCAGGCATTATCTCTACCTCATGTTTTCCTTGACATTATAGAATCTTATAACTACAGAATGACCTGGGTTAGAAGAGACCTTAAAGATGGTCTAGTTCCATCCCCCCATCCCACAGGCAAGGATGCGAACCACTATATCAGGTTGCCAAGGGCCCCATCCAACATGGCCTTGAACACTTTTCACACCTTCTCTGGGCAACCTGGTATAGTGCCTTACTACCCTCTAAGTAAAGAATTTTAAGAAGTTTAAAACCATTTCTCCTTGTCCTATCACTATAGGACTGTGTAAATAGACACTCTCCCGCTTTTAATAAACTCCCTTTAAGTACTGGAAGGCAACAATGAGTCCTCAGTTGAGTCCTCTCCAGTCTGAACAACCTCTACTCTCTCAGTTTTTCCTTATAGGAGAGGTGCTCCATTGATCTAGGGGAGTCACAAGCTAAAAAGTCTCTCATTAATACCTGGTTTAACATCTGTCACACCTTCTAGGAGCACCAGGTGCGGGGGTCGTTCACAGGCAACATCACAGAAACGAAACTGGAGCAGGAAGTCACGGCTGTATTCACGTCTCCCTGCAGGGAAAAGTACAAGTTAAAAGAAAAAAATATCTGCAGCAAAGTCACATCTACCAGGAACACCTACATACATTTCAGACCTTTGGGCCTCTTAGACCTCTTTCGTTTGAGAGAGGCTTTTGTGCCCAAATATTTAATACCATGAGAATAGAAATCACTTAATAAGTTAAATGCAGAACAGAACAGATGTGTAAATGTAGAAGAACAGAGCACAGATATTGCTATCCCTTTAGCTAATGCAACAGTCATGGTCAGCACAAATTTAGACACCAAGTTCAAGAGACTTTCAAGCAGATCAGTTAGTGAGCAACTCAAGGAAATGTCTGTCAAAAAAGAAAAACTATTCTGGAGTTCAGGTTGAGTATAAGTTCCACGTGCAAAATTTTAACAAAAACTATTTTGTGCGTGCTCCTTTTTTTAAATCCTCTCTAAGGACAGTAGAGAACAGACATGATAGAGAACGTGAAGACTAGGCTCTTAAGAATGATTTCTTAACAGTGCAGATAATGGCTGTGGCTGCTGAACACAGTTTACAACTGCACAAAAACCTAAGTCTGGGAACAGGAAAGAGATATGTTACTGGTACGGGAACATCCAGCTCCTGACTAGAGAAAGAAAATTATAGAAATAGGGCTACAGCAATAGATTCTGGAAAAATTATATTTAATTATATTATATTTAATTATTATATTTAATTCATATACCAAGGAAATGGATAGAAGAAGAGAATCTTCACTGAGTGCCTCATGCAACACATGCCCAAGCTGTTCAGAGAGAAAACAAGACCCGCAAACTGCCCATCCTCAGCAAACTCCAGCTCTCAGTGCACACTGGAGCTTACCTGTTTTCTTTGGCTGGCACTGGCTGACATACTGGCAGTTGTCTGTTACACCCAGTGAGCTCGGCCACAGTGGGGCCAGCAGTTTCCGTGAATACAACTGTTGGGAAAAGTCTTCCTGACCAGACACCTGCAAAGAGGCCAGAAAAGGAGAGGAACCATCAGCAACGCAAGGCAGAACTTCTGCAAGCTATATACAGTGTACATATATACACCTGCAAAGGGCAAGACAGGAGAAAGACAGGAGAATGCCCTCATAGAAAGGCACAAACTAAGCTATTCAGAATATGGTGCGGGGGTAATAAACCTTTAGCTGAGGGGGGTGGATACAATTAGCTAAAAGTCATCTGACAAGATACTTTGCAGCCATCTCATTGAACTGATGATTTAGCTTGAAAGCTGACCATGTATTTGATCCCAGACACACAGTAAGAGCCAGAAGAGACTCTAGCATAGGTGCCCATTTCAAACTGTTTTCAGAACAAACATCCACATACAAATTCAGTAAGTCTTGGTGGAGTTGCACTCCCCTACACTTCCAGTCACCCAGGCACAAAAATTCCATAGCAAAGGAAAACAAAGACCTGAAATGAAGTGGTTTATTATCACAAGTCTGCCTCAAGAGAAACCAAAAGAGCAGTGGTGGAAACAACAGGCACACACTTGTCCACTTCTTACGCCTGCAGTGCTGGAGATATTAGGGAAGACCAATGAATAACTGAATTCAGAGTATTTCCTCACAAGAGAAATGATGCAGCCATGCATTTTTCTAGCAATATGCAATAAAGAGGTAGCCAATCCCAGTTATGGTTGGCAACTACCTTCCAGGCTGGCATCCCATGGTAGGAAAGTTCACCATTCCGGATGAATTTGTAGAGTGGAGAATCAGGTACAGAGTTCAGGTCTCCACACAAGATGACAGGATAGTAGCTGCCTTCAGTAGTTCTTGCAATTTTGTCAATCTCTGCTAGGAGCAAGGCCACCTGGGCTAGTTTGATATCTCCTCGACGTGGATTGAACAACACATGAGTGTTGGCCACACACAAAGGACTGATGGCCTTCAGATCTAGGCCCTCTGGGAGCACAGGCTGTAGCAGCAGCACCAAGCCCACATTATCCCGATTGAGGATGTCCAGGCCAGGACGGAAGTATTCTATGGGATTGAGGCTGATCAGCTGAAACCTGCTGTGCTTATAGCACACTGCACATCCATCTGTCTTTGTCCCAGTTCTCCGTTTGTAGAAGCATGCAAAGCCTGAAAAGAACACATCACCTATTAAAAGGTTTATCCAGTCACTACCTCAGGCTTCTCCTATAAGCTAGGAGTTCAGCAAGACTGTATAGAAAAGGTTCCTACTACATTTGGGCACAGCACTATATCCAATTCTCTTCCAATAGTCGCCATTTATTATTAATCATTGAGGGTATTTTCTCTCTCTTTGTCCTTCTAGGACCCTCTCAGTTTTGATACTCTGATCTTTCAACTCTGAGAGACATCAGTTAAAAAGAAGGTCTAGGCAGACAGTTCAGAAGTAGGGCCAGCAGCCACCCAGCAAACAGGAAGAGGTCCCTCAAAACTGAGTGCTTTGAAGACAGTAAGCAAGAATTTCTTGGCCAGTCCCCACAAACTGGAGGTACAGACACACAAAAGTAGGACATACCCATCTCCTTGAATGTTGGTTCCAGTTGCTCCCAGTAATGGTTCTCTTGTACCTCCTGGAGACAAAGAACCTGGAAGGAAGGCAGAGACCTCACTCATTCCACAAGTATGTGCTAGTTACCTTGTTCTGGGGAAGGAAGAAAATGGAAAAGTGCACTCACATACCAACCCTGCAACCAGAAATGTCATCACCGCAACTCTGTCCTGTACTTTCCAGATGAAGAGCAATAACTTTCTGGGCCACATTAGCTTATCACTCAGTTTTCCAGTGATGAGGCAAAAGATCCTTCATCCCACAAAGAGGACTCAAAGGAGAGAGAAATTCATGAAGTCCTCTTCTATGCAGGCTTCCCCTCCTGTGCTGCCTTAGAAACCTGGTCCTTCTTCCTCTACTGCTGTTTACAGAAGTTAAGCCCTGCCATCAAAGTATTACTAGTTTCTACAATCAAAGCAAGACAGACACCAAAAAAAAGGTCTGCGCAAGTCCTCAAACAGTCTCAGAGCAATCAGTGTTCAGTGACCAAGCAGGTAGCATCTTCCTAGGACCTCCCCCCATCTTTTTCTTTTTTTTAATACTGCTAGATCAAACAAGGAATTCAAATTCTGGTGACACTGATGTAGGAAGGGCTCAGTCATACTCACATCAGGATCCCAGTGCTGGATTTCTTGCAAAAGATTTGGAAGGCGATAGTTCCAGTTCAGGATGTCTGGATGACAGTGTACATAGAGATCAAGGCCCTGTTCCACCAGGTCCTGGGCAAGGATGTTGTAAGACATGACTCGAAATTCAAAGAGAGGAGTGTTTTCTGAGACCTGCTCTAGGACACAGGGCTGGACAGAAAGATCCTCCCAGTCTCTCCATAAAATCTCTATATGCAGGAGACAAAAAGCAAAGTTACTGACACGCTGGGCACCTTTCTGATACTTCTGTTCCCCTGGGACCCAGAAAATAGCCATTCTCATTCCCTAAGTTAGGGCGTTCTAACTCCTGAGCAAACCCTCACCCACTCTGTTTTTCAGGTGCTCTTTCTGGATGCCTTTGAAAATAGTTGTCAGTGGGGATGGAATAAGACATGACCAGAGTCAAGTACACTGAAACACTCAACCAACTTTTCAGTGCATTTCAGATTATAAAGCAGCAGTTGGGAACAGTTCCTAGGAAGGGAACATATATCAATATTCATACCAGTCTAACAGCACAGAGACCACTAGCTGTGACCAGACCCTCCTCAGCAAACACTCACTTTACAGTTGTCACTAATGATCCCGTCAATTCTGCAGGGAAAATCAGTGTCTTCCTGACAGCAAGTCCAGACACAATAACCTGACCACATTCACTACAAATGCCAATCCCAAACTGAACATCAGATTCAGAGCCATTACTGACCGTGGTAGGGCACCTCTGTCGGGACAGGACAAAATGGTACTGCATCCTGAATGGGCTGGGCTGGGAGCTCTGCTGGCACTGTCTCTGCATCACATGCTAAACTCCAGGCCAGCACAGCTGGGTCATCATTCAGCACTTCTGTGTTGATACCAGCACAGACAGCTATCTGCTGATCTGGCTGTGGCACCACAGCTGCCCAAGGGGCACCGCCTGCTACAGTCACTGTTTCCTCTGCTGGTAATCTTGCCCGTTCAGCCACTGCATGACCTTGCAGTTCTGAAGAAGCCAAGGTGTTTAGCTCTGAGAGCTGCTGATCAGCACATGGTGTGGCTTCTGGAGACGAATTCAGTTCTCTGAGGCTAGTCATCAATAGCTCTGAACCTTCTAACCAGTCACTAGTGAGTGTAACTGATACTTTCCCCACTGCTGGAACACTCTCACTGGCTGGCAAATTCCCTGCTCCTTCCTCCAACCACTGCTGGAGAAGGGCTTCTTGCTCTTCTGAGACCGATCTTCCTTTGGATGCAGCAAAGACGCCTTCTATCTGGGTGGACGGGCTCTTCGCCAGAAGCACATTCGTTCGACAGGTAAAGAAACCATCTGTCATTTAAAAACAAAATCAACATAAGACAGCCTGAAATCCCTTCTCACTCAGTCTTTTCTTTTTCCAATGCATTTGCTGTAACTGTGCAATACAACCATTCAGCATATTAACTCAAACAAATGACTTCTCTGAAGAAAAATAGTTACAATCTAAAAAAATTCCCCTGTCCCCTCTGGAATGCTAAGCCATAGTCCAAATCTAGTTATGTTCGCCAGTCAATGAATCTGCACGCGATAGCAATGGCTTTACCAAATTGAGGGAATGCAATTCTAACTTATGCAGCACCACAGACAGTCAGCCAAGCTAAAAGGCCCTGTGGAAACTATCAGCTCTCAGCAACACCTATAAAGCACACTCTGTGGAAGTTAGCTGATCAGGTGCATGGGCTAAGAAGCCAAGGTCTTGTAGATCATAACTTGGAGCAAGTTTCTTTCCAGGGATTGAGTAAGAAATAGCAGTCAGCTAAGAGAATGAAATACCCTCTCCTGTAAGGAGAGGCTGAGGGAACTGGGGTTGTTTAGCCTGGAGAAGATGAGGCTTAGGGGCGACCTCATCACTCCCTCCAGCTACCTGAGAGGAGGTTGTAGCCAGGTGGGCATCGGTCTCTTCTCCCAGGCAACCAGCAGTAGGACAAGAGGGCATGGTCTTAAGCTCTGCCAGGGGAGGTTTAGGTTGGGTATTAGGAAGAAATTTTTTACAGAGAGAGTAATCACACATTGGAATGGGCTGTCCAGGAAGGTGGTGGATTCACCATCCCTGGAGGTTTTTAAGATGAGACTGGATGTGTTGAATCAAGGGTTGGACTTCATGATCTCGGAGGTCTTTTCCAACCTATTTGATTCTGTAATTCTATGATATCAGAAGAATAGAAGAATGTGTTGTAGAAGAAAAACTATTCTCTTATTAAGATATGAAAAATGAAGGCACACAGGGACCAACATATACCTATTAGAGAGCATATATGCACAGAGGAAGTCCTGGTAAGAATTACAGATCACCTGATGACTGATACATGAGGCAAAAAAACTAAAAACATTTTAAACTGTTTTTAATGTAACAACTGAATATACTAACATTCATGGAGTAAAGTAGAAAAAGACAGGGACTCTTTTCACTTTTATCTACACAAGAGATGGCATTTGCATTTTGTTATGAATTCTACACAGACAGTAGTCCCTGCTGTTGACTAGCAATTTCTGTTGACTACAAATCACTTTTTTTCTCTGTATCCCTGTGACAGTCAGCCAGAGCAGTAACATACTGTCAGCAACATCTGTGTGTACTTTTACTATATCTTTTGTGTCAACGTTTTCTGTATGTATCAGAAACGGAGCTTTGAGAACCATATGCCTCTGAAGTTTTGTAATTAAGTTCATGAACATCAGAAACACCAGTGCACCAAGATAATGTTTCCACGCACCACTACCCAAGCACAGCTGTTACAAGAGCCTGTTACTACACCATAGAAGCTGAATTTGAGAGGAGTCAGCTAGCCACTCACTATGACCAAAGACAGCGTGCCCGTCATTGCTACAGGCCCAGGGACAAGTTCAGGAGGGAGGGTGGCTTTACATCAGCACAGTAACCAGAGACTGTGAAGCAGCAGCAGGATCTAGGAAACTATGTGAAATAGCGATGCACGAAAAGCACGATTCACCCGCAGATCCCTGGGGAGTCACAGATCTCTGAGCAGTCCATTTCTAAAGATGTCCCCAAGCCTCCAGCGCAGGCCCGAGGCAGGAGCTGGAGCCCCCGCGCAGTGCGCAATCTGCCCCTGCAGTACAACAGCCGGCAGCTGTTCCCTGACAACACCCCGCTCCCCGCGCCGCCCCGGGGACAGCGGCTCCGGCCCGGCACCGCTGCCCCAGGCCCCGCCTGCTCAGGGCCGGGGGTTCGGGGAGCTCCGGGTCCGCCAGGCCGCACCCGCCTCAGGCCGGGCCGGGGGGCGGCGACGGACACCCCGCCCCTCCGGGCCCCTCCGCCCTCCCCTGCCCCTGCCACCGCCCGCCCGGGGCCGGGTTACCTCGCAGGGCCCGGAGGAAGCGCGCCGCCGGCAGCAGCACATAGCAGAGCAGGGTGCCGATCATACCGCCCGGCCCGGCACGGCCTCCACCGCCCTCGGCCCGGCCCCGGCGCCGCGCCGGCCCCGCCTCAGCTACGACCTCTGGGTGCGGGCTCTGCGGACCCGGCGCGCACGGGCACTCACCGCGTCGGGCCGCGGGGCTGGCAGCCGCCTCGGGCCTGGCAGCCGCCTCGGGCCTGGCCCTCCTCCAGCGCCCCTCCGGACCGGCTGCTCCCGGGAGGCCGCGGCACGGGGTGGGACGGCCCCGCGGAGCGGCCCCGGCCGGAGTGGGGCCCCGCCCGTCCCGCTGTGAGGCAGGAGTGCGGCCGGGGCTCAGGGCCTGGCGGCTGTGCAGTCCCCGAGGGGTCAGGAGTTGTGACCCTGGGCTGAGTGACAGCAGCCTTCCGGACTCCTCACCCTGAAGTTTGTGGTTTCAAACAGTATTTTTCACCCCCTGTTCTCTAGAATTTCAAACAGGACAATTTCCAGTTTTCTTCCCCCTCCGGAAAGCCACTGTTTGCTCCAGATGAGTTAATAATTACACAGGCTTTTCAAACACTGATGCATTTGGTGAGATGGCAGAGTGGGAGCATGCCCTCCCTCGAGTGCTGCTGACAGGTCCACCACCACAGCTCTGCAAAATCACTCCTCACCTGGAGGTGAGCACTCTGGCCTTTGCAAGTTGAGATCCATCACATGTTGCAACCAGATGGTTGCATATGAAAAGTGAAGTCCTGGTTGAAGTCCAGGACTTTCATGTTTGCTTCATGCCACAGTTAAATGTTTTCAATATCTGAAGACAGATCAAGCTGAGTACACTACAGCTTTTTACATTAAATACCCCTTTCTAATGCACATTCTCAGTAGCCTTCTTCCAAACTCTTCAAGATGAGTACCTGCAATAAAGTCAAGATTCATGTCATCCTTGTCTTTTGTACTGATGAGAGCTGCCAAACTGTTCCCTTGATGGTGACCAGCTGCTGTGTCACAGCACACTCAGGCAGGGGCGTCAATGTTAGACAAGAAACTTGGTGATTAGCAGAATGACTGTCTAGGGCTAGGACCTGAGATGATGTTACAATGTACAAACATAATAGTCCTACCAGTTCTCCTTTTCAAATCCCCAGTTATAAAATATCACAGACCATAAATGCAGTGACTTGTCTCAAATCCCACAAGTAAGTAAAGTAATGGCCAGTCTTTGCGAACGAAAAACCAGGGAAGGTCTTTACCCCTTCCAGCCTGTGCATTGGATTTTTTTTTTAGGTGAGACACAGTGTGCGCAGAACTGAGCCCACCCTTTAATCCTAAGGTTCATCTGCCGGGGCCAAGCGAGCTTGGACAGTGGCAGCAAGGTCCTCAGGACATAGATCGATTGCCTTACAGGGCTAACGAGCTCCATCTGCCCGGGGAGTGTCCTAACTGGGAATCGAACCCGGGTCTTGACGTTGACAGCGCCGTGGCTTAACCACTGCACCACCAGGGGCACTCAAATCCCACAAATGTCTCTGGCAAAGCACAGAACTGGACTATGGTCTCCCACCTACTGCACAAACCAAGCCATCACTGGTTTTCATTTCTAGTCAGAAAACAGAGGGTGTTCTCCAGAGAAAGTATCTGCAACATTAGGGGCTGATGATTGGGTCATTTAAAATTAGGCTGTTCTTTAAAAGCAAAGATCTAAGAAACCCACATCAGAATAATCAGACTGAAATCAGAGAAGAATGTTAGCTGGTGCTATAAACAAGCAAGCAACTGTGGCAAAACAGCCGTAGTTGTTTGGCCTACACTATAAAAAATATTTACAAACTTTGGCAATAAAATCAAAGCTGACAATGGTCATCTGCTTTGGTCAAATCTTCCACTGGGTTTTGTGGCATTTTGTTCTATATCCAAATATAACTCCACCATGGTCTCTAATGACTGGACTACTTAAGAGGTCTATGTAGAACCTAAGGGAATAAAACCACTAAAATTACCTTATTTGGGGGGAAACAGACTTTTTCTTCCTCTCTGTTTTACATATTACACTGTGTAGGCTACATAAGTTTCAAAATCTGTACCAGAGATTATTGTCACTGAGCATTGCCTATAATGGAAATATTTCTAAGTGTATGAATTAGTTCTGTTCAACCTTTATCAGAAAGCGTCTTCTGTTACAGTTTTGGTTTTAGCCTCTTATGAAGTTACAAAGTCCTCAATATAAAAGATGTAAAATAATAAGCACTTTGGCACCAGCAACAGTTAGTGAGACAAATGAGCACTTGATCCAAGGCCCCATTAAGTGCTGACATGTTTACAAGCCACACTTTATTACTTAACTTACTGGGAATTTGGCAGTAGGGAAGTCTGAATCTGTTCAAGACTAAAAAAGTGAATACATTTCTGTCCTCATCTCCTGTAAGACTGCAACTGCCACAGTCTGACTTTCCCATGAAATTGTACACACTGGAATATGAACTGAAAGGAGACAAGAACTCTTATCAGCAGCGTAGCACAACTGTGATACATCTGTGGGGGTTTCCACAGCCAAAACCACAGCTGTTCTCAGATACTGGGAGCTGATTAGATCCCAGAGCGATGGGGTTTCCAACACCAAATGTCACCCTTAGGAGTTAGAAGGTGCTGGTGGCACAGAAGAATGGTGATAGCATGGCAGGGCAATCACAGGCTTTGCTGGGCTTTCTCATATCGCCAGGGCAGTCCCTGCAAAACAGAAATGGGATTCTCCTATTTAGAAGTCGTAGAAATCAAGAATATAGATCTTACAAAAGGCACCATTTTTCCTGGAGTTGTTTTAATCAAAACCAAGCAGCTGCGCTTTTTGTGTGTAGGTGTGAGAAACTTACAGGGTCTAGGAAGGGGCTGTGAACTTCTCATTTACAGAAAAGAAAAAGCAAATGAACCTGCAGCTCACTGATGGTGACACAGAGAATGAGTCTAAGAAGGACGCAGGTGCAGTGTTTACTTTTTGGCAAACTCACTTCAGAAATTGTCAGAAATGGCCAAAGAAAAATCACCAGCACCCAAGACAGACTGTTGTTGCATCAGGCTGATCACCAGGTGGGAAGGCTTCTCTTCTCTAGGCCAGGCAGCAATGAGGAGAAGGGTAACGATCAGATATCTAGTGTTATAGTGCCCAGAGATGGGAGCTACCATCTGGGAACAGTTTGGAAAAAAGCTAAATTAATCATAAGAGGACTTGCCAGTACCAGCTTCCAAGACACTCCACCCATCTGCCCCTAATGCCCACAGCAGATGTCAGAGCTCAGCATCTTGTGAGACCAGATCCTGTTTGAGCTCCCCATCGCCCAGAAGGACAGGCAGGGCGTGAGGAGCAGTAGAGTTTTCTGAACCTGCTGCTCTCAGGCTATGCTTGTACACACTGAGTCAGGCCCCAGGACTGCTTACAGCACTATGGCCTGACTTCCTAGATCAGCATAACAGTTCCTCTTAAAATTAAAAAAACTCCTTTGGCCTGTCAGTCATTACAAGTTAATTTCTTGTTTTCCTTTGTTGTTATATATACAATTACTTGTTAAATAATGCAATTACTGTAAGGTAGGGACATATGCGGGACAACTTCTCTCTTTGGCTCATTTTTCTATATTTAAATAAAGTATAATGCAATTTATGAAGTGCAGGGATCACTTCTGAATCTACTTCAGAAGACTCAGTCCACAGGCTGGACTGGGACTGGCTAATGTACTGGGCATATGACTTGTCTCATGAATTCTTTTCATGGGATTTAGACCTATTTTTACCCTTTCTTTTGTCTTTCTCACACTAAAGTAATGCAAGTAAAGCCATCATATGACAAATAAAGTCTGGCAGAAGGAAAAGGTCTTCATGAAGGAGCTGCAGCTGCAGGGCTGGTTGAAATGTGGTGATGTGGGTGCCAGCTGGCCAGTCTTCCCCTCACATAGGTCTGAATGAACAGCCAAACTGCAAGCTCCACATCATACATCAATACTAGGTGACACCCAGGAAGGGTACAAAATTTCAGGTCAACAGCCTGGAGCCCTAAATGGAAATAGACAGTAAGGAAAGAAAGGCAGTAAAAGCAGTGACAAGGAATGAAAAGGAAGATTCAGGGAAGAAAAAAAATATGTATTACGCTATTAGCCAGAAATTATTTTGGCAAAATCATACTTCATTATTCTTTATGCATTTATTCCTCTTAAAAAGGATTTTTCCAAATTCTCCTTCTCTCTAACTATGAAATAAATTACGAATTGTGGGCAAGAGAAGCTGTTTCACTCCCAGTGAGTCTAGTTACACTCAGTCCCAATAGACAGTACCATTCAAATGCTTTCTCTTCTGCCATTCAGGAAGAGTACTGCAAAGCATTCCCAGTCTGATCACAAAGTCAGCCAACAGTGCCTGGGGAAGTGTGAGTCAGATCAAGGAAAAGCTGGCATGGGTTTGGCTTGTACACTTGCGGAAAAATGGGATGAAAATGAAAAATTTGCTTTGGCTGGTGGGCTCAGAAATTGAGAAAGGGGAGAAAGGCAGCTTGTGAGGGAACAAAGACCTTATGTGGGAGAACTGTGAGTTCCTTGCACATGGGCTGAAGAATTTGAGGAGAGCTTTTTCCAACACTTCCAAGCACCAGAGTGAGCCTATCCCCACACTGGGGCCAGCACCACATGCATACAATGTGCAGGGAGTGGTGGGCACAAAGCAGAGATGCATGAGGAGTACATCAGCAACGTGCTGAAGAAGGGCTTCAGTGAGGTGGGAGATCTATCACACCCAGGGAGTCACATCTCTGCTGGGCTTGCATTGACAAACTGAATCTTTTTCATGGAAGACTAGAATGAAGAGATGTCAAAATCAGTGAGTCTCAGGAGTCTGTGTCTCTGGCTGATGCCTCAGCAGAGAAGGCCACACAAGCCACTGACACTGACCATGGGGTTGAACCTGAACTTTTTCTGATCATCTGCCTCACTTTGCCCATTTCTGACTGCCCTTACAGTCAGAACTGTACCTACTGACTGGTATGTATTCAAAATGGAGACCAAGGACACAATCCTGCCAGAATTCTGACAACCACATGTAGTCTGGCAATTGATAAAGGCAGAGGCAGGAATGAATTTCCCCTTAAGAGCTCTCCCTTTGATGTCAAGTATCTTCCTTCAACTGCTCTCTACATATCACAGCTATTTCTTTGTTCCCTTTTCTCTCCTCTAGTCATTAATAGCCTACACTGCCAGCCCAGCCCACTGTCTGGGCATCAGGAGCAGCTATCTGAAACCAGGGATGGGACTGCAGCCCTGTTTGTGCACTCCTGATGAAACACTGCATAGCACTTACGGTCAGCACACCATGTGTTTGCCACAACCATCCTAAACTTTTCTGATGGCTCTCCTCTTATTTTCTGCCTCATGATGTCAGTCCTCTGGCTAAGAAAGTCATTTTTGTAACAGTAGGATTTATCCATAATTTAGGATGAGACCTTGCTAACTTGTTGTAAGTGGAAGCAAAATCCAAAAACATAAGAATACAAGAACAAGGACTGTTTTGTTAGAGGCTTCAAACTGAACTGGAAAATGGCTTTGATGAGAAGGGAATTTGTCTTGAGGTCAGACTACTGGATGCATATAACAGCATGGAGAAATATGAGCTCTAAGTATGGGGTTTGATGAAGGAAATCCAAATGACAGGTTTTTGTGGAAATACAGCCTGCAGCTGCACTGATATGTCTCACTGCAGCTGTGTCAACAACACCCAATGGCCAAGATGAGAATGCTGGGATCCTTCCTGCTGGTTGTAAGCCAAAATGTTCTGAGCTGCCCTACCTCTGCTGTCAATATCAGCTGCGTGCTTCAATTAAGACTTAAAAAAAAAAAAAAGATGAAAATGTTTTTGCCTGATGTCAAAAATTCTCAGTTACACCAAAAAAAGTTCACTCACATTGCAGACTGGTGAGAAGCTACAGCAAGTCACTGAATGCCAAACGAAGAAGCAAGGAGGATATATTAACGCCTGGAGGTCTAGGATAAAGGGATAGGAAGAACTAGGGGATGATAACCCCTAAATAGTAAAACTGAACTGTTGTTGCATAGTGTTACTTAATTTTATTAAGTTGCTTAATTTATTTAAAAGAGGAGGGAGAACACTTAATGCACCATGCATCAATATACTTTTTCTCTGTAGATCCTGGGAAGGCCTTTGCAGATGCATGGAGGCTGATGGAGGTGGTGCCTGTCTTACACTTTATTCAAAACTTGGCCAAACCTTTTATAAATCTGAAGCACGATGGTCTAGGACTCAAGGTGTCAAAGTCACTGTTAGTGTTATGGTGGTGAGTAGCCAGTAACAGTGGAGCCACTGTTCTCAAGAACAGCAGGAATTTTAGGCCTCTCTCAGGCCTGGAAATCATCATTGAGTACACAGTGTGGGAGAAAAGGTCCTATACCTTCCCCACTGGAACTCTGAGCATCCCTAATGTTTCTAATCCTCTGCACAGGAAAAGTTTTGTGAGGCTACTGATGGCCTTTCATAGAGAACCCCCAAAAGCAACTGCTGCTCTTCCACGGGTCACAAGTCCTCAGTGCTTCTAATGCATACAGGGTCACAGATAGGGGAGGAAGGACTGGTATCCCACTCTAGGTTCTGCATAGGAATGTGCTACACTCACCAGTGGACAAGCCCAAGATGCCTGCACTGAAGATGGGACCTGAGCCTGCATCTCCAGGCTGGCACAAAGCAACAGAAAGTCCTACCCACTCAAAACCCCTCCAAGAAAACAGCTCTTTTACGTGCAATTCCCACAGCCATGGCTCTGTCACATCCCCTGATCACAGTCCTGCTCAAGACCTGCAATGCTTCCTAAGGTTTGAAGGAAATGCCCAGCGTCTGTTGAACTAAGAGAACTATCCTCTTTGTTAACTTTGCAGTAATGTTTTTGCATGTCTCTGTTTATCTTTTTGTCTTCCCAGTCCAACACAACCGTCAGCCATTTAGTTAGAAGAAAAGTACATTTTGATAGAAGGAGCCATATGCATAACAGAGATGCTTTGAGAGAATTCCTCCCTTCAAGAACTGGTATCCAATCTGACATAGTTTGTAAGTCAGAAGTATTGCTCATCAAGTTCAATCATCTAAAAGAAAACAAATTCATTCCATTAGGTTTTAACCAAATAGCGACTGTTCCCATGCAAAAACATTCACATTCTGAAAGTCATGATATTTTGTGTTGTGCTACTTTTAAAAAGTACAAGCTTCTGAAAAGCAGAAGTGTGCATGTAATGGCAGTCTGGTGAGTCTGGAACTGCTATCTTCATTAGCACATGTAACAATAATTACCATAACTAAGTCTTTCCTCTTTATGCTTAGCCAATGGAAAAAAATATTTTGGTCAGAAACTTTCATTCTCCAAGATGACATGGGGAAACTTTTCCAAATAAATTAAGGGAATAATGCAAGACTTTCAGATATGAATTGGTAGGAATATTCCTTTGATCTGAAACTGGGGTATACAAAATGTATTTTGATAGGCCATGGGATTTGCGTTACACTGAAAGAAAAGATTCTTGGCCAAATGCCTCTTGCTTCACTGAAGACAAAAACCCATGTGAAACTGATGGCTCTAGGGCTTTATTCCTGTTAGGACGGATACAGGGTTAAACTCACCTATAACTCACACAGTAATTACTCCTTGATATCTGGGGCATTAAGAAGACAGTAAAGCTGATACATTCTTTGGACTTATCCTTCTTATCCTCCCTTCTTTTCTTCCAAAACATCTCTAATAACTGCCTAAACAGAGCAGGAGCTGAATCATTTGCCAGTTTGCTTTTGGATAACCTGTCCTACCTCAGTAGTCTTCAGCTCGGGGGGGGGGGTGGGCTGTATGCACACAAACAGTGATGGCAGTAGAAGTGAAATAACGTGTTTTCATTCCAGTCTCTCCCCCTGATAATATTACTCAGACTATGGGCACAATCAAACTCTCAGCTATGTCACTGATGGGAACCCAGAGTAACAGTGGAAATCTAGACTTACAGAAATGTGATTAAATATTTAGCCTGCTCAACTTTCAGCATCTCTGAAAACCAGACCCTCGAGAGAAACTTAGATAATTACTGGAGCATCTCCCACATCTTAGGGTAATTCTACATTATGGAGCAAAGTAAAATAATTACTAACTTCTCTACTGGGTCTGGCTGAGATGGAGTTAGTTTTCCCCATTGCAGTCCTCATAGTGGTGTAATTTGTATTGGTAGCTAGAAAGGTGTTGATAAACACAGCAGAGTTTTGGCTCTGCACTGTCTCTCCAACATTCCCCCTCACCATTAAGCTGAGAGTGGGAAAGATCTTGGAGGGTACATAGCCAGGACAGCTGATCCAACCTGACCAAAGGGGTATTCCATACCATACTGCATCTCCTCAGCTACAAAAGCTAAGAGAAAGGCATGGGAGGGGAGGGGGGGGGGACAGGAAGTGGTGGCACATTTGTTATTACAACGTTTGTCTTTCAGAGCAATCACTATGTGTATTGAAGCCTTGACTTCACAGGAAGTGACTGGACATCACCTGCTGATGGGAAATAGAGAATAAATCTTTTCCTTTGCTTCAGTGTGTGGTCTTTTACTTTATTAAACTGCCTTTATCTTGACCTACAAGATAGGTTTTTTCTATGTTATTTTCTCCCCCCTGTCCTGCTTAGGAGGAGAATGACAGAATGTCTTGGTGAGCACCTGATGTCCAACTAAGGTCAACCCACCACAACTTCTTACAGCTAGATATGGACTGTGATGAACTGGAGATTCTGCCTAAAATCACAGTTTTCTGCAGACTCCCCAGCACAGCACCAAGGGATAGATCAGTGCATTGTTAACATACTTTTTTTCCCCGGGAAACAACTTCGGACAGGAGACTGCACCCTACTTTGCTTAGGCATTAATGGTGAGTTACCTGAAATCCAGGGTCATTTGCAGCCCTGGCTGTGTAACAGACCCTTCTCATCTTGAAGCTGCTACTCACTTGGCATGATTTCACTTGGCAATGCCCACATGATTTCCTGGCATAATTCTGCTAAGGGCCTCTTGCTTAGTTCAGAAATGAGAGAGATTGGTAGGAGACAGAGCTGGATGAACTGCACTAACATTTTTTCGGGACAGCTGCATGTGTCTGTCTGAGAAACAAACCTTCAGAACTCTGTTAGAGAACCCAACTTCATAAAATTTTGCAATTCTTCAGTAAAAATAAGAGGCTTGACTTCTCTGGTTCGTTACTATCTCAAAGCCTCTGCATTGTTTGGCACCTTCAGCAGCCGCCCTGAAGCAAGGCCTTGCCCTGATATCAGAAAAGGCCCTTGGTCAAGGTGCAATGGTGGGAGTAGAACAGGGGCAGAAAAAATTACAGGACGTGTTGCAGGTCACATATGAGCTGTATGAGGGAAGTTTGCACAACACAAAATTCCATTGCTTTTACCATTTTAGGAGGATAATCAATGTGATGTTATATGTCTGTCTGGGGACACACAGTGCCACAATCTCTGTGCTGCTGATGTCCCATACACTGAAGATTTCAGTGTGTCTGATATCCCTCTATTTCATCTCCATTTGGGGGCCTTGGTATGGCATCTGTTTGCAGCTGGCTGGAAGATCACATTGTCTCTGCACACTTGTCTCTCTGCAGGGCAATTACCAAGTGAAGGAGCTGAACCTTAGCCACAAGGAGTTCTCTGAGAAAGGACAACAGCTCCTGGGATAGATGCTTGGTAACTTAATTTATTAATCCTGCAAAGCCAGGATGTTGTGGTTTAGGAACAGCAGTGCAAATCACAAGTTGCTTCTCTCCTCTGCTCCAATGAGAGAGACAAAAGGCAGAGATTATGGGTTGAGATATAAACAATTTACTGGAAACAACAATGAGATAAGAAGTAACAGCAACAATATTAATTATAATATACAAACAATACAAAAAAGGGTGATTTACATGCAGAAAATGCTCACTGACTGACTCTAGGACAATGAACAACAGACCCTCTATACCTAAGCTTTTCCCTGACTGCAAGCCACACCCACCTTCTCTAAATCAAGATTCCCTTCTGCCCCAGCAGTGATGTGAGGTGGTATAGAATAACAACGTGGACACAAACACATCCTCCAGAGTCTGTCCCCGTCACAACTCCTGTGAAAAAAATTAACTCTGTCCTGGCCAAAAACCAAGACACAGGAGTACAGGCACTGGGGGACTTGATCGAACATGTATTTCCTTCTCTAGCAAAAATGCCCCATGACCTAGTTTGTACTACAAAAGCCAGGACAGCCAGATTCAGAGCTTCCTGGATGGTCCACTTCATCACCATAGGTGACTCTAGCAACAGTGACTAATGTATGAGAAGATACATGCAGGATGAAAAACCACAGTAACAGAGCAGTCTGTCAGAGAGAAGGGAGACGAAAAAGAAGTCCCTCAGAGTGTATAAAGCAGAAAATTGCACTCTACTAAAATCTCATAGGATCAGAACTGTTGTTCATTTTAAGCTTCTGATTACAAGGTTCAGGAGCTAATTTCAGTTTTTCTTAAGTAGCCCAAACCCTAATGGTTTTAGCCATTGCACAGTAAACAGCAAGAGAAAGAGATTAGGAAGTAATAAAATTAAGATGTCTAACCTAGCTGTTCAGACAAAGTGAGATCCAGAATGAGCTAATAGCCCCTGAAAGGGAAAGCAAACAAAACAGTATTTCAGTTATTTCAGATGCTATTTCTACACTGTAAAAGACTTGCATTAATATCTGAGGGCTCTTCTTCCCCCAGTATGTTCAACAGACCTGCTACCATAATGGCCACAAGCATGTGCTGTGAGCATCCAGGGTTCCTTGAGCGTTGCAGTAACATGATGCCTTTAGTTTAATTAATGCTTTCCTTCTCCTGGTTCAGTATTTCTATTGATATGTATCTCTTTCTAATAAAAGTCCATGTCTTTGAAATATGGATAAATTAAAATTAAAGTGGGGACAAGGCCCCTGCTTGAACAAGTCTGCAGGCAACTCAGGGATCAGTACTAAAACTTGTGACCTTCCTAGTCTAGAAAAATGCCTCTCCAAAATTCAAGGTTTTACAGCTCTTCTCTCCTTACAGCTCACTTGAACAGGAGCAGCAGAGATTACTGCAGAATCAGTTTCTTTTCTGTTTTGTTTCTTAGAGGAATATTTTTAAGTCAGCTAAATTCACCATCTGTCTCCATCCAACCTCCCATACATGGAAAATTTGGATGAGAAATTGTCTCTGAGAATGAGAAACAAGTGTTGGCAGCAAGTCCTCTCCCTCCCTGTGTCACAGTAGACACAAATGAATTCACACATACCCTGCTCAAAGTAGAACTTACTGTGAGGTGTGCAATGCATGTGAATTGGCATTGGCACATATACAGCTGGGCACAGCTACCATATGAAACTGAATTCCTCTCCTCTGCTAATCAAACATAAGCAGAGTGAGTCTTAATATTTTAGATGTGGCAGGGAGAATCCAGCCATTTTTCACAGTGAGAAAAACAGGCAGTGTCTATTAATATAAGAAATCCTCCCTCTCTCTATTTTCCTCCTTCACAATGTAAATCATTTGCTAAGAATTTTGTTCAAGCACAGAATAAACTATAATTTCCACAACAGGGCAATGCCACAGCACTACCTAAAGTAGAGGAGTATTATCAAGTCCTGGAAAAATAATGGCCAAAACTGCCTTCTAGGAATTGAGGGATCAATAATCCTGGAAAGGGCAAAACTAAACAACCAGCCAAGATGGCTTCAGAGGTTAGGATTGACAGCTAACATGTCTTCTCAATCCAAGATCAGACTCTAGGAATTCAGCTCAGTAAAGTCAGCTTGCTTGTGAGCTGCATTCTTGGGTAGATCTAATATCACCATCCTGAGAGTCTGCAAATGGCTTGAGGGGAATCTTTAAGCTGTAAGCCTGTCTCTGAACACCCCTGTCCTTGTAAATCACTGCAACTACATCAGTCATTGGGACTGCTGTTTTAGATTATGTAAATAAACATGTCTGTCTGCCTTGCTCTTAACCTGGCTTGAGGTAAGGTCACTAGCTCACACCAAGGCATTTCTCTCTCTCTGCAGCCATACAGATTGCCTTAGGAGCTGATAGCACAAAGGACTTAAAGGAGGACATGTCTTCTCCTGGCCAACAGTAACAAAGGAAGTTTTCTTTATAATAGTGGGAATGGAGACTGTACATGAAGTCCAAGGTGGGGGAGAGATGATGTTCACACAGTAAGAGATGCACCTGGCAATGCCAACCCTGTAACGTCAGATAGCCAGACCTTGTAGGCTGGAAGCAGACAAGCAGCCTGAGCTCTGATCTGCTGTGCTGCCAACAGGAACCAACGGTATGGGAAATGTCCCAGGGCACACACACCCATCCAGAGGGACGCTACTAGCAAGCACGCTAGCTACAGCAATGGGCTGCCTCAGCCTCTCCCCATCACATGACTGAACATGATCCACATTACATCCTCCTGCATGACAGATGCAAGGGACATGATATGTGGAATTTCACACAAGGAGACGGAGAGAAACTGAGAAGGTAACTCCACTTGGAAACTGCATTGCAAACTTTTGTGGGACAGAGACAAGAGATGGTGAGGTAACAGACAAACCCCTTGAAAGCGACCACAGTTTTTCTACACCTCTGCTGAAGAATGGGAAGAAAAGGTACTTATAGATTCACCACATTTCACTCTCATCCATTTCGTAACAGCAGAACAAGAACAAGAAGTGAATTCCCACTGGAGGATGAATTCTCTTCATCCCCTGAGCTGTCTTCCTCCAGGGTAGCCTAAGATTCTGTGAAGTGCTTTGATACTCTGTCAGTCTGTGTGAGGAATAGAAGAAGATGGATGCTTCAAGGCATTGAAAGCAAGGCAGTTCTATTTAAAAAAAAAAAAAAAAAAAAAAAAAAAAAAAAAAAAAAAAAAAAAAAAAAAAAAAAAAAAAAAAAAAAAAAAAAAAAAAAAAAAAAAAAAAAAAAAAAAAAAAAAAAAAAAAAAAAAAAAAAAAAAAAAAAAAAAAAAAAAAAAAAAAAAAAAGCAAGCACCAACCAAAAAAAACCAAAACAAATCAAACATTAAAAGGCTGGTGAGGAAGGAAAAAGAGATCAAAGAGGCCAAATCTTAGTATGCTACTCTGTAGCAAGGCTGGAGATAACACCTTGTTGTAACCTCACATGCTGCTTCTAAAATGCTCCTGAGCGAGGGCAGGGATTGCGTTGCAGACCAACACAGTGGAGAGACCCAGTCATGCATCAATCCAGTCCTGGCACTTCCAGCCATGCACTGATTCTTCATGGGAGCAGTTACAGAAGGTGTCAGGGGCCACAGGGCCCTCCACCCACCTATGGGAGCAGCATAATTAAAGAAAATAGCATTTTTACAAAAATTAGATTTGGGACATAAATAATATGTTCATGCTTGAAACAGGGTAAAAGTAAAGTTCACAAGCAGTTTTGGACACTCATGTAATGGGTTGTCTCTAAGTTACTTCTGCATGTGTTCTTTGTCCTGTGGTTACTATATTAAAGAAACTAAAAATAAGCAGAATAAATAATATTCACCTTTAGTCTTTCCTGAGAGTATCGAGTGCTTTCAACAGAGATCATCTGAAGAACAGGCGCTCCTCTAGGGTAGATAGAGATTTTTTTCCTGCATATATTAAGATCAAAGAGAATTATTTTCCTAGTCTGCAAGGAGTCAGGCCTCATTCTGCAAAGGAAAACTAAATCGGGCTGTATGGGGGTAAAGGACTGCATTACAGTAGATGTGGTTCTTCTAGTTTTATTATGAATAACCTAAACAATTAATAAAATTGGAAAGAATAATAAATTTTAGCTAAAAGTGGATAAATTAAAAGGAATTATTGAAATGCATTCATTTAAGAGGAAGCACTCAATAAATTTTGAGGCCAGGAGTTAATCTGCAATCCAACCTAAATCTTTCTACAAATTTCTGCTTTGTAAGGTTAAAGAGTTATTCTCTTCACCTCACCCTTGAAAAAGTCTAAATTACTTGGCATTTCACAAGATAAATGGTCAATGGCATAAATTTACAATGACATTTCAGCATCCCAATCAAATGCTTGTAGGCAAACATCTAATCTGTCTGCCAGACTTCATTCCACATGTGATGTAGGGAGTCTTGAATTTCAATTCAGAATAAGTGTAAATATAGAGGGTCAACGACCTTACATTGTCTTAAACCGTTGAGAAATTAGTAAAGGTTTTAATCTTTTACAGGAAACTTAAGAGAAGATATAAACTAAAGCCTCTCCTGCCTCTTTTCTCAGGGATAAATGCTTATCTTGACTTTTAAAGAATGAATAATTATTGTGTCTGTAAGAGGTATATGGAATAAGGATCATATCTAGAAACCTTTCCATGGGTTTGACAGCACCAGCAGTGGCAAAGTAATAGAAAGGCACATTTTTAACAACAAGCTTATTCCTTCTGACAACATTTCTAAGCATGACTGTTCCCCACATTCTTTTCATAATCTACTCTTTATAGGGTTCCAGCTTGCAGATATTGACAATCAAACATTTTTTAAAAGTGGTGAATCAAAATAGCCAGCATATGCTCATTGTCTGCATCACAGTACAAAAGAAATTACTGTTGCTTTTCAGCTGTCTGTGTGGGTTTTTTCTGGACCGGACTGACTGTGTCAAACATGCAGAAATGCTCCCTCCAGGTGCTGCCCAATCCCAGCATGGTTCGCTAGGCCAGACATGGTGCTTTGGCTACGCTGCTTCTGAGGTGCCACTGGCAGTCCACTGGCTTTGTCATGGGCTCAAGCCAAGCTGGCAACCCTGGAGAGAGCTGGCAGCCAGCAGAGCCAGCTTGGGCTTTCCTGTGCTGCATTCCCAGGACTAGGTCACTCTCCTAGTGTGCATGGCGCAAGAATGTCTGAATGGCTTCTTCAGAGAGCCGCTCTGCATCCATAAAACCCTTGGTAGTGAATGAAAGCTAGTAAATCCAGCTGGACTCAGACTGGTTCAAGACTGTTATTGAGCAGTGGCAGTCAAGAGCTCACTGCACAAGTAGATGGATCTTAAGAACAATGGATTTTAAGTTTCTAAAAAGAAGATGTAAGAATGCAGTGGGACACTTTGTAAATTAACTTTAAGAAAATAATACAGTGCTTGATGCTGTTGGAACCTCCCACAATGACAGAAACAGAAGCTGAATTTCCTGATCTGACTTGAAATTTCCAACAAGTAAGTATATCACTAACATAATACATGAACAATTCCCGTGTCATCATGGGTATGAACAAAATCAGTCATGTCTTTAAAATCAATCAAGGCAAATGCACATTTGTCATAACTTAAATTTAGAAGAATAATTTACAGTGACATTAATACTATTTGCATTGATAGCTTACTTTCTAATATTCCAAACCCCTAAACTGGGACACTGTGCTGCTCCCCATTCAGTAAATGTTAAAACAGAAAACCTACAATGTGAGCTCTGAATTGCTGAGCTGTCACTACCTTGTTTGAAATTCTTAGGAAAAAACAAATATCAGGTCTTCTACTGCTGACTGGAGCTTCCTCTTATTGTTACACACTGAAAGAGAGCTTTGCCAAAAGTTCTTTTCATCTGGAGACACCTGGACCCTTCCCAGATAGGATCATCTTTCTTGCCTGGGCTATAAAGCTACATTGCTGGAGATCCTTTAAGGTCTTGGGTGATTTTTTTTTTTTCCATTTTTGCACAGCTCTACAGCACATTTAGGCCATTAACTGTTCAACTTGCAATCTGGGTCTTAACAGAATGGAGAGAACTGTCTCAGGGATGAACATGAATTACTTGAATCACCAAAAATAAGAGATCTTCAGTGATGACCACCTACCTTGTAGTAAGCTAATTTCTGCATAAATTAGTAGATCTTTCTCTTTCAGACATGGAAAAAGAGAAAGATGAACACTTATTTAGGACCGAACCTCCATGGGATTCCTGAAAACAAAGAGCAGAGATAGTAGAAGTATCTCCTACAGCATCTGTAGAAGAGAATGATTAATGTATTTGTGAATACAAGAAAATCTTTGTTGTTCTCTGGGTGTCCATGCTGAGTGCACTTTCCTTGCCCCTAAGTGCCAGAATGAGTTGCTAAATGAAACTTGAATCAAGTTGCAGGATTTGGTGTGTCAAATGCATCCTGAACTAGATGTCATCTACAGTGAGGTCAAAGTCTGTATCATCAAGATCCCCAACAGTATCCAGATCCCATGGAAATGATTCAGGTGAGCTACTGAATTTGGATCCTTAGCTGCCTGTACACAGTACACATGCTCCAGATACTTAGAGGGATGGAGGCTGAAAGGTAAGCTTTCTTTCAAGTCAGAAATTCAGCCAAGTTCCTTCAGAAAAGTAAATTTACAAAGACAGTCACAACGTTCACATATCTCAGTTCACACAGACTGACTAAGCAAATCCTTTGCTTTTCAGCAGAAGCTATTGCCTTGGGATCTGAGAGCACTGGGGGGTGAGAAAAGGAATAGGAATAGATGTTTGCTTGCTGTGTAAAACACATTAATAATTTCGGGCCTGATCCAAATTAATGTCTATTCCTCATCAAAAGCCCACCACAACAGCTGACTTTCATAGAACACGTCACTGAGAGCTGAGCTTTAGCATCAAAAGTAATGTACTTCATAAACGTAGGATATGGTATTACAAGCAAATACTGTCCTAAATAAACATAACTCAGATTTTCGAGGTCTGCAGTTTTCATGGATAGCAGCAGATGGTGCTGTCCTCCTTGCTGGAAGCCAACAGAAGGACTTGAGCATTGCTGAGCTAACACCTTAGCACTAACAGCTTTACTGTGTTTCTTAACTGCTTCGCAGATTCTCAGCTAATTGGATGAGGTCTTGCTATAGATAAGGGTTGGGATGAACTTAAGCAAAAGCTTGGGCTGTTAGTTCACATCAAACAGTGCTGCTGTGCTTCACAGCTAGTGACACCTGCACTACCATACTCTGCAGTTTTTAATAGCCATTACGGTATTCAGCATGTCCTCATTCAAACAGAGGTGGAATTCAGAGAAGAGTAACTAAAGTGGTTAGAGACCTGGGGAAGAGAACTGTCTCGAAAAGACAGCCTAACCAAGTGGCCATTGGGATGAATACCAAATGACCAAATGCAATTATCAGAAGAAAAACAGGTTTACTACTGAGTCTCATTTCAAGGCAGGAGGAGAAGAAGGTATAACTGAGAAGAATGGGATTAACCTGAACAAAAGGACTTTGTTCTCACAATATGGTGACTCTATAAGGAGTAAAGAAGACATATCTCTCAGTGATGGGCTGAGTAAAGGCAGGGTGACAGATGGAAGAATAAGGGGAGAGCAGGTATCAGTGGCTGTTTCATGGTTATGCCCATGCTTTATCTCTGCTTCTGTTAGAACTACTTGAAAGAGCATAACCTAAAACTATGAGACTTTTTTTGGAATATTGATGAGAATGGAAACATGAAGATTCCTGTGGCAGCCTTCTGGAAAGCCATGATGCAGGTGTGCCTCTGAAAGCATGGCCAGAATCCTCTTCTGTCAGGGTTTTGCTCTAGAACCCCTCTGCTGCAGCACAGCCACTAGCCAGCCTTTCTGGTGACATTGTTCAGGCTAAAAGGCTAAATTCACTCATCACAAAGTTAAGCCTTGAATGAGACCAGTGGAAGTGCTGTGACACACAATAAATACTGCAGATGGCACCAGTGATAATGGACAGACATCCACTCTTTGTATATGATATACAGGATATTGATAGATAGTTATGTCTTACTGCTATGGGAAAGTGAAAAAAACAAGCATCTAAACCCTCACCTGTACTGTTGAAAAGACAGTTCTCTTCCTGACAAAACCACCATGGTGCTTGGAATCAGTAGCAATGGTCAGCCAGCCATGATATTCTTTCACAAAAAAAAAAAAAAAAAAAAAAAAAAAAAAAAAAAAAAAAAAAAAAAAAAAAAAAAAAAAAAAAAAAAAAAAAAAAAAAAAAAAAAAAAAAAAAACAAAAAAAAAACCTCAGGTTCCCTAGCACTTCTCTTCTTCTCTTAGCAACAAATCATCCCACTGTATAAAGTCCAAATTGGGAAACCAGTGCAAATCTAGACCAGAATCAGACAACAGCTGTGGATTATAGGTATGTGAGTGACTCCATTTACTGTCCTGGTTTGTCTTTAATTTTTCTTTAATTTGGCTCAACACCAAATAAATATAACTTTTTTCACCTTAGGATGTGAAGGTACATATTACTTACCTTAATAAAAGGTAGATGAAAAAACACCTTGTATGCTTATAAGTTTTGTTGAATCAAACGAGTAGTCTTATTTTCCTATTTGATAAACTTGTGAGAATGCAAAGATGTCAGAGCTGAATGGCATTTTCATTCATTCTCATTAGCCTGTGTGAGAAGCATCAGCTCAACACTGTCCTCCCCCTAAAGCCAGGATAAGATTTGCAACGACAGCATATCTGTGCCTTTAGAACTTTTCCTCCATTCTCAGGGACTCTTGTTTTTTTTTTTACTTCTCTCTGATCCCTCTTCTTAGGAGACCTAGTTTTCCCTGGAAACCTGCCTTCAAACTACAGAACTTTTCATTCTCTTGAAAGTGCCTCTTCCTTAGTGCCTGTAGCAATCGTGTCCAAGTTCTGAGAGCCTGAGCATTCAGCAGCAAACTCCTCAGAGGCTGTCAGTCGCTGCAGGCTAAACTGCTTGTCATTGGACCCAAAATTCCCCCTAGATTTTCAGTCAATTCTGACATATGACTCATCAGCTGAAAGCCCTGTTTATCATGCCCAAATATTCCCATCCTCAGCACATACTAATCGGTTTAAGTATATGCTCTAGTCAAGTTTTAAGGCTAGAAGCAATGGGTCGGTTTTGCTCTTAGCTACTAATGTTTTCAGAGACAAGCAAATTATTCTGTTGGGTTTGGTCTTTATTCCTTTGCATATATCAGTGCCATACTAAAAGCACCCATGCTTAGGTGCTAGATGTGCCTTAGCCTAGTTAATCTTCAATCGGAGGTTACATGGAGTTCCCATGTACTTCAGGCACAATTTACACAATTGTGGTTAAGCAATAAGCAGATTAAACTGCTGAAACCCAATGGCCGGCAAAGACTTCATCTGGTGCCATTAATGTGGCTGAGTTGGTATACGGGGAAAAGTAGATAAGCTTATCTAGCTTTTGATGGATTTTAGCACTATAGCATGTGTGAAGTGGTAAAATTCATCTTGCAGACAAGAGTCAGAAGATTTGTGACCTTTGCTGTCCTTACTGTTCCCACCTCAGGCTGTTGCCTCAAGGTCCTCTCAGAAGCTTTAAGATACCTGACAGAGAAGGTTCACTTTACTAGATTAGTACTGGTTTACCACCTCCTTTTCCATAAGTGACGCAGAAGAGCAGAAGCCAGCACAGAACTCGTGGAAGGGGAAATTGAGGAAGAAGATAAGGAAAAGCCATAAAAATGAAGCAAGGAGGGAGGTCAGGCAATGCAAGATTGTGTGAGAACCCCTGAAAGAAAGCTCAGAGTACCTCTGGCCTTGGGTAGGCCTAGCACTGGGGAGCTCTGATAGTCTAGGTTATTGTAGAAATAAAGTTGATGTTCCGCTACACAACAGGTCCCTATATAGTCTGGTACTTTTCTGTTAAGGAAAGACTGGTCCTTTGGACCTGGTTACCAAATCTTTCTCTGTATGCCGACAGTGATGAACTTACTTGCAAAGACGAAGGCAAAAAATGGGAAATAGGAAACTAAGATACTCATGCATTATCTCTTTTTGAGGTAATGCACACAGACAAAGACTGAAGCAAGAGCCCTGCAGTCATCTCCAATCAGCTTAGGAGATCTGGACACAGGGACCTTTGTAAGAGAAGAAAAGAAACAAACTTCATGAGAAACTATACCTCATATTGCTTAACAAGTTATTGGTGATAGAAATTTTGTTTAATATCCCCATGGGAAAAAATATGCTAGAAAGATGAAAGACAGATTTTTAAATGGCTTAGATACTGAACTTTTTTTAAATCAACATTGAAAGATATATTTCAATAGCTCTTAAGAAGGAATTAAAGCCTTGCATATATTAATATTTATAAAAAAATAGAATCTTTAAAATATAAATATGTATAGGAAGTACATTTTGCCATGTGAGCAACTGCCAACATAGAGTATAAACCAAGGACTTTGGAGAACTGGAGAATGTTGGCCACTTTTGGAAGATCAGCCTTCAGTGAAAAGGAAAAGAAGGTAGTTGCAACCTGGTAAGTCTCTTTTTCCCAATGGAATTCCAGTGTGGAAAAAAATCTTTAAAATACTTTGAAAATCTATGTGGCTCCAGTGCCTAATCAGAGGTCAAGATGACTGTTGGCATGATGGTATTGCTATGTCTGCTCAGTAGTCACCTTCAGAAGGCTTCAGCTCATTACCCCAGGAGATCTGTGTCCTCTGATGCCTGTGACTCTTCCAGAATTTACTTGTGATTGCAGTCAGTGCCCCCACATATGTGGGGGTTTGAGATGAAGAATCAGAGCAGCATTAGAGATGCTGGGCAGTTTGCACATGCACTGTGGGGTTTCTGTTCTTTTCCTAATCATGCCTGAAATGTAATTAGTGTTTCTTGACTATTCCTAAGCACTCATGTACATTTTCATAGAAGCTGTCGTGTTTTCATCCCAGCCAGCAGCCAAGCCCCACACAGCCACTTGTTCACTCATGCACCAGTGGGATTGGAGAGAGAACTGGAAGGGTAAAAGCTGGAAAACTCATGGGTTAAGATAAAGACAGTTTAATAGGGAAAGCAAAAACCACATACACAAGCAAAGAAAAACAAAGAATTAATTCAGTGCTTCATATGGGCAGGGAGGTGTTCAGCCATCTCCATCACATGTAATGCTTACTTGGGAAGACAAACAGCATCCCTCCAAACTGCTCCATTCCTTCTCCCTCCCCCCCCCCCCAAATTGATAAGCTGAACACGATGTCATATGGTATGGAATATTCCTTTAGTCAGTTTGGGTCACCTGTCCCAGCTGTGTCCCCTCCCAGCCTCCTCACCAGTGTGGCAGAACTAGAAGCAGAAAAAGCCTTGGATCTGGGTAAGCCTTGCTGAGCAGTAACAATAACATCTCAATATTATCAACCCTGCCTTCAGCACAAATCCAAAACACATCCCCATACTATCCACTGTGAAACAAATTACCTCTATCTGGCCCAAGCCAGCATAGAAGCCTACATCGAACCCGCAGGACCTTACTGTTGATCAGTGGGGCCCGGAGAGGGCAGGAGAGCGGCCGGTGCCTCTCTCTGTACATTTCGAGCTCGCTCCCTGCTCAACACGCACTGACCCGGCGCTCAGCGGGAGCGCAGCCCCAGGGCCCGGCCGTGCCCGCGTCGCCGCCAGGTGTCAGCGCAGCCCCGGCGGTGCCGCGCCCGCCCTGCCCGCCCGCGGGCCCCGCACGCCGCCGCACGGCGGCCTCCGGGAACCGCTGAGCGTGGAGTCAGCGAATGGCCTGGATTGGGAGCGACCTTTAACATCATCTAGTTTCTGTTCCAGGGCCTCACCACCCTCGGAGTAAAGAATCTTTCACTAATATCTAAACTAAACCTGTTCTCTCACAGTTTGAAACCATTCCCCCTTGTCCATGTCACTTATAAAAAGTCCCTCTCCAGCTTTCTTTTAGGCTCTCTTCAGGGTACTGGAAGAATCACAAGTAAGTCACCCCAAAGCCTTCTCTTCTCCAGACTGAACAAATGCAATTCTCTCAGCCTTTCCTCGTAGGAAAGGTGCTCCATCCCTCTAATCAACTTGCTGGCCTTCCTCAGGACTTGCGCTGACAGGTCCATGTCCTTCCTGTGGTGTGGACCCCAGAGCTGGATGCAGTTCTCCAGGTGGGGTCTCACAAGAGCTGCTCTTTCCATAACTACTCCATTGCTGCTTTCCTGTGAAGAACTACTAGCAGGAGCACCATTTTAACCGTTGTACAATGTTCCTCCAGCATCCTGCTCCAAAGATGGGTGTATCCATAAGCAGTGGCACATTTTATGCTGGATTCACTAGTGGTTGAGGGACTGGAGACACCTGATACATACAATTGTGTGTAATAACTCTGACATGGCCTGTTGGTCCACATGTGCCTGTGTACAGAGAGGTGTCACTGCTACAGGACAGTACTAAGACTCTTGGACCCACTGAGCTTTCTACATCTGATCCACAGACCTGAGTGTAGATACTCAGCATTTATGGAGGGGCCTGTTGTTTAAAACACATTATCTTCTAGGATGTTCTTCACTGGCTTCAAGTCTGTTGATGCAACATCCACCATTTCCTGGCTGTGCCAGTGTAAAATACCTATGCCTCTCTCTCCCCCTCAGTCCCAAGAAATCCTTTTTTGAGTCTCCTTTTTTTTTTAACTTAGGAGGCAGAAAATGAAATACCAACATATGCAGGCTCAGAATTAAAGCCAAGGAGTTGGGAACTCCTAATGATTTTATATTTTGCACCAAAAAAAAAGAATTTTTTTTTTTACATGACCTGCAACTATTGTTACATAACAGAGAACAAGAATTACAGTATTCCAGATTTTCCTTTAAAATTAGGCTCTCGGTTTACCAGAAGGCAGATACTCTATGGTCAGTTAAGTTGGGTCAGAGGTGAGAAGTTTCCAGACTGGAACAACAAGAGAGAACAATGGGATCTTGGGGTATCTGATGGCAGAGACTGAAGGTCCTGCTTCACTGTCCCTACAGCACTTTCGTTCTGCAGAAAAGGGTACACTGGAGTAGTCGAGTTGCACATGTACATACTGTTCAATATCTTTGTCTTTTCTTCCCACAGTGTCTTGGGTTTGTGCTGCATATGTTGCACATGCATCTTTATCTCATGCAGAGTGCTGTTGTGTATTAGTCACGCATTATTATTCAACTTCGGTTTGCACAGAGTCAGATGCCCAACTAAACTGATTTGTCCAATTATCGCCCTTAAGTTTCTAGAGCAGCTACAGCCATCAAAAATCTTCTGTAAGAAAACAACATAATCAAATAGAGACGGGAACTGGCCTGAGGCAGGTGTGGCTTTTATTCATTTGAGTATCCACTTCAACTCTAGACTCTACAATGATGTGGCAGCTAGATGGTACCTTTACATCAGGAAAAACTTGCAGGGCGATTCGATGGTTTCTTTCAGGTAAAGCGTTAAAGCCCAGATTTCTATTCCAGAAAGACTTGATAAATAAAAAATACTTATTTTGCAAAAACAAAATCAAAAGAGAATGGGAAGGAATTATTTGCAACCTTCTATCTTACTATGTGACATGATGCAACTAAAATACTAGCAAAAAATCGAGAGTGTTAATGAAAATTTTAATCATATGCAAGCAGTGGGGTGGAGGGATATAGCTGCAGTTGGTATTGTGCAGAATCTCTCTGAGCATTCTCAGATCAATAAAGCCTTTTTAAGCTTGGTGGCAGCATTTGTCCCCTTGCTGAGAATTCAGGGATAAACTGTGGTAGACACTGAGCAGGGGCGGTCGGGAAGTGGAACATGAATTTCTCTGCTGATCCTGCACCTGTGAAATGGCGCAGAAGGAAATGGTTTGGCTAGCATAAATTAAGGCAGCTCTGAGACTCATCTAACATACCTCAGGAATTCAGCCTGCCAGCACAAAATTAGACAGTGCAGAAAGCTGGCTAAACACTACCTCTGTATCTTCCTTAGCTCGTGAGAGTGACACAGCCAAGTGACATTGTCAGAACTCTTCAATATTAGAAAGAAAACACTGTCTAAGTAATGTGTTTTGAAAACACAGCATGCACACTAGAGTATTTGATGTGTTAGCTAGTTTAGATGAACCTTTGGATCTCTTGCAAGGGAAATCATCTTTTTGTAATGGATCCCATCCAGCAGTATGAGACACAATTCAGACTAATCTCCTAGGCACCACCACAACATTTAGGACAACATATCATTGCATTATAAAGACATAACTAATCAGAATCTCTGGAAATCTTGGAGTAAGCGTAAAGACTAATGTTAGATGCCAAACTATCTCAGCTTGTTCACAATGAAGATCTTTGATCTGTATAGCTGAACTGACCTACAGGTTTTTGGCTTTATTTTCAAAGAAGAAATCTCATGGGCTGCTGAAGTGGGTACAGTGATACTAGTCTTCCTCTTTTAGATCAATAGTTCCTTGTTCCAGTGGCTTCCCATCCATTTAATGACATATCACAAGGTGTCCAGTGTATATCAGTGGACATGCGCCTTATGCAAAGGTGCATCTGCAGCCATGAATGAAATCATGCATCATGAGATTGGGAGCATGCCATATACAAGGTACTGCTCAGTGCAACAGGGATGCTTATGTCTCTCACCTGAATCTCTCACGGTAACGTTACAGAAACTGAAGAGATGATGGAGTGAAAATTTGCAAGGACAAAATTAAATTTTTTCATCATGAAGCAGCAGATTCGAGTCAATTGACTGGTGATAATGCTTTTTACAAGCCACTGGAAAAGGTCAAGGTCATAATGGACACTTCAGTTCCCGAAGATTTATGTTTTAGTTGTTCTTTTCTTCTTAAGTGGGTGTGTCCTTATCTATGTACAATACTGAAGCTCTTTCATAGTTTCTTAATCCAGAGAGTCCAGCCAAAGGATTGTGTTCTGAATTTGGCCTACCAGAAAATGCAATCGTTCCTTGCCACTCTCTTTGTTGCAGGCTGCTAGGATGGCAGTCAGACACGTGCCACAGACTGGACAGATTGCTCTGGTAGCCTTGTCTTTTCCAGGCACTTCATGAAAACCTTAGTTACTCCACTGACTTGCTACTAGCTGTTCATCTCTCAAGGGACAAATAGGACAGCTTTCATAGCCTCGTGGGAAGGGGGCATCATATTACAGGAGGACAAGAAAATAATGTCCTGCTGTGTAACCTTATTCATTGGATCCTCCTTTCAGGAAACTGAGTATGTGCATTCCTTTATGGTCTGTGTTTGCATTTGGGGTCATAGGATAAAGTGGTCTTATTATGGAGAATATCTGCAGGATATGATCTTCCATAAGGGACTGAGAGCAGACTCAATCATGCATGATCTTCCCCTGTAAGGGAAGATCAGGCCACTTCAACTCCTCTTTGCCAGTGGTTTCTCCCTACTCCATATTTATGGAGCTGGAATGGGAGCCAGCTACACCGGGTCCTTCACTTAGGACTCAAGCAGGGCTCTGTACAGGGCTGGGGTCACCGCGAGGGCACGGATGTGCCCGTGCACTGGCTCCTGCGTGCAAATGTCTACACCTTAGCAGCAGCAGCAGGAAACTGGCTTCTCCACCCTAGAGCTGCACCTTTGCCTGCTTTTCCCTCCTTCCCACCGACCAGAGGGCGCTGCGCCCTCAGAAGTGGGTCCTCGGCACATTCCTGGGATAAGCTAAACCACTGGAAGGAAAAAGTCCTGCGCACACCCAGGCACACATGCACACCCTAGGAAACAAAAAACCCGAGCTAAAAACAAACTGCGAGCTGGGAAGAGGGTGGTTGAAATCCTTGGAAACCCAGGCAAGCAGCAGCCGGCGAGGCGGGCAGGGTGCGGGGGGCTCGGGCGGGGCAGGCTGGGCTGGCCCAGCGCCCGCGCCCCGCCAAGGGCACCCTGTGCACGGTGCCCGCCCCGACGAGGGGGTGCTCCCGCTCCCACCTCATTGTGCGGCGCAGTGGAAAAGCCACAATGCGACTCTCGGGGGGAGTAGGGGGTGGAGACAGACACAGGCGGAGTCAGGGCTCAAATTCTTGAACCTTTCACATCCTTTCTGTAATTTGAAACATACTTGTTCCCATGCCAGAACCTTTTTTTTCTTCTTTTTTTTTTTTTTTTTTGATTCCTTCCTTGAGGCTATGGAAATACGTTCAGAGAAAAAAAATGAGAGAGAGAGAAAGAAAGTAAGAAAAGGAAGGGAAAAAAGCAAGCCCACTATTTATCAGAGGCTCCAAAACAAAACAGAGAAACGTGAGAGCGCGGCCCTCCCCAGGCACAAGTGCTCGCGGGCTCAGATTTCCCTTCGGAGGGGTCATGGCTGCTGCAGTCACGGGTTTGGAACGCAGCTGGTCCTGCCTGCAACAGGCAAAAAAATCCTGGCTCTGCTGCAAATGGCACTTGCCTCCTTTCTTTTCCGAAGATCGTGGTGTTTAGAGCAAAGGAAGCCATTTGCAAAACGCTTTGACTGGTTTGTGCCCTTACGGATCCCAGCCATCTTCAAAGGGTCATTCCCCCGCCACATTCCCAGCCCCTTCCACCCAGGCACATCTGCATGCCCCTCTCCTACGCACAGCTAGTTACACACCTAAAAGCACTCCAATTTATTTCCTTTAACAAGACTTCCAGGTAGTCAGTCCCCATGATTAGTGTGGAGTGTACACATACAAGAGAGGAAAACTGACTTATGTAATGTCTTAAAATTTCAAATGTCCCTAACCGCCCAAAAAGGCACAAAGCAGCATCAGCCTGGCCGTCATGCCCACTCCTCTCCCCCTGGGTAAACCACAGCAGGTGATTGTGCTGGTGTAGGGGTATTTTTGTTTGCTTTGTGT